GGGCAGCTTAGAGGGGGCACCACCCAGCAGATGGACACTGGGGCTGGCGCTGGAAGGAGTCCCTGTCATCCTGGGGGCTGGGTAAATGACAGTGTCCAAGATGTGCCTTTGATGGGGCATGGTGCCCCTGCTGGGGCTGGGAAACCCCCTCTGGGCCTGCCTGTAAACTGGGAGGTACTCCCTCTGCCCATGGTGGGGACTAGAGGGTGGCCCATGAACTGAGCCTCAGCTCCCCTCATCCCACTGGCCCCTGAGCACCTTCGGCTGTGCTCTCTGACTCTCAGGACGTTTCACAGCCCAAGCCCCAGGTCCTGGGGAGCCCATGGGTCAGTGCCAACCTTGGTGCCTGCTTTGGTGCCTTCTGCCCCATCCAAGACCACCGGCCCTGGCAGGAGGGGGTGGGTGGTGGATGTCTTTGGCGTCGCTGATACTCCAGAGTCAATGGAGATGGTGCTGCGTGGCGGTGGGTGGGGTGCAGGGAGCAGAAATCTGGGGGTGGAGAGAGGGGCTGGCACGGAGTGAAGACCCAAGGGACATGGACAGAGGGAATGTTGGGGTGTGAGATGCTTGTCAAAGTGGCTGGAGGTGGAGCCCCAGGTCTAGGCTGAGAGAGGGCCCTGTCTTTCCATGGTGGGACTTGGCTCTCCTACTCCCCCCCACCCCCACCTTCCCTCTGCTGTGAGTAGTGTCCCTGTAGAGGTCCTCTGGACACCACCATCTAGGTGTGGTCCCTGAGGGGACTGGTGGCTCCCATAAAGCACTCAGCAGTGGGTGTGGGGCAGTGAAGCCTTGGAAACACCGAGAAGGAAAGGGAGACGGGATGAGGAAATAAAGGTCTCGGATGGTCCATTCCTGCTGCAGGGCAACCAACAGCCCCCAAAGCTAAGTCGAGCAAGCACATGACTCTGTGAATCAAGAACTGGATGGGGCACCCAGCAAAGAGGACTGGTGTCAGTGCCCCTGTATCGGGTGCCCTGGCTGGGAAGACTTGATGGAGCCGAGGCCCAGCAGCTGGAACCATCTGGAAGTGTCTTATCTTCTCTGGGCCCGCCAGCCAGGTGAGTCAACTCCATGTACCATATGGCTCCTACCTGTGTCCCCAATGGGCTTCCTCATAGCATGGCCACTGGTCTGGCGCCAGGACAAAGTGACATGCTCCTTCAAGAGGCAGCTCTGAAATAATAATATTATGCACTGTTATGACAGGACACCACGCCTGAGGCCCACACAAGAGGAGGGGCAAAGCCCCCCCCCCCTCCACCGAGAAGGAGGGAGGAAGGGAGAGCTGCTGCAGGGACCAGGGCCAGTCTGCCTTGGGAGATGCTGCAGTGGGAGTGGCAGCAGGTCTCAGCACAGAGCCTGCTTCAGCACAGAGGGCCCCCAGGTGTGAGAGCAGAGAAATGAGACGCAGAGACATGGAAAGCTGGGTGCGGCCCTGAGAGAAGGACAGATGGGGACAGTAAGTGAAGACCTCCAACAAGCTCACCTATCTCTGACCTAGAGAGGCCCCTGGCAGGCCCAGGGGCAGAGCTCCCAGCAGTGAGCTCCTCGGGGTGGGGGCCCGTCTTTTTCCAGCAAGAAGTAGAGATGAACCTAGTCCGCTCTCTGGCAGGAGCAGGAAGTAACTCCGGAGGAGGCAGCTGTTCCCTGGGTCACCCCACCCTCCGGCCCCCATTTCCCTAGGACTATCCCGTAGCTCTTTGTGTGTCAGAGAGCATCAGCATGCTCTATGAACAGGCTCTTTCTAGAAGCCTGGGGATCCCCACATGCACAGAAAGGGAGGTCAGGGTTCAGACAAGCTCTGTGCTCCAACAACCCAACAGGGAGCGAAAGAAGAGCCCAGAAGGAAGTGTCACCTGCCACTCCCCCTCTCAACTTCTGGTCGGGCTAGGCTAGTCTTGGTATAAAGCTGGGGCAGCTCAGTTGTGACTAGAGCCCACCAGACCCCATCTCACTGCCCGCCTGAGGGTGAGATAGCCAGGGGAGGCCCAAGTGGTAGCCTACCCCTGCAGGAGCCCAGACAAGCAAGCCTTCCCTGCAAAGGAGGTGCCAGTGCCCACTAGAGGGCACTCGAAGTTCCCACAGCCTGGGGGAAAGGAGGGGGGTTCAGAAGGGCAAGGGGGGAATCAGCCCTCCCCCGGCTTTCTGTAAGCTGTAGAGACCCTCTGCAGACCCCTGCCTGCCCCCAACAACTCCCCAAGGTCCTCACACCCAGGGGACCAAGAAGAGAGTGATAGACATTCCTCAGTGGGTGGCACTTAGGCACGTCCCCAGCCTTGAGAGCACTCCTGTACAGGGTGGGGTTGTGGGTAGGGCCCAGGCTACCCCTGTCCCTCCTTGGGCACCCCTGGAAGCCCTGCGGAGGGACTGACTTCAGCCCAGGATCCCAGAGGGCTTCCTGGAATCAAGGTGTGAACTTTTCAGGTGACCAGACCCGGACAATAGTGGATGGGCAGGAGGGAAGCTTCGGGATGGGGACTTGGAGGGCAAGGGCCCTGGGCACGGCACCCCTGTCTATCACTGCCCCATCCTGCCTCTTTCCGAGCCTGAGACTACTCCTTCCCTCTGGGGCCTCCCTCAAAGCTGCCTGCTCACCCTGAAGACGCTCTTGCCTAAATCACCCCGTCTAAAGAAAGGTTTTTTTAAAAGAAAACACCAAAACAACGTTTCCTTCCCCTGTCCCTTACAGCAGTCTGGATTGTTTGTGTACTGTCTGCCGGATTAGACGTCCCTGGGATGGGCTCACCTCATGGCGGACACTCAGTAAACATTCACTGAACATGGAGACCAGCTGGAGACCACCCCCCACCCCTTGCACTTAAAAGACCAGAGTCCCCGCCCACCTCCTGCAAAGCAATTCAGAATGAAACAGCTTCCGTGAGAAAACAGCATAAGGAAGTCCCCAAAGCCCTGGGGTTTCCCACTGTGCGCTTGGAAACTTCAAACAGAAACATTGTGGCCACGAGGGTCTCCAGTGAGTGGGAATGGCTTACTGCCATTGACTCCCGCTCAGAGCGACAAAGCCAAACAAAAGCCAAACTCCTGCCACTGAGCTCCTGCCATCTCCCAGAGACCCTCGAAGACAAACAAGTAACAGTTAAATCAAAGCCATTTCAAAATCTCAAATTCTGCTGCCTTTTTTTTTAACTGCCCCATACAAAACATTTATCGACTTCATTCTTTAGTCAATTAAACAAACAAACCCTTCAGCATTATTTCAGCACTGGTTTGAAACTACCGGTACCTTGGATACGTTTGTCCGAAGAGACCAGTCCCTGGCTAGGGACATGGTGGAGGGGCAGTGGAAAAAATTGGAAGGCCCTTGGCATGAGGGATTGACACAGTGGCTGCAAGAACAGGCTCGCCTTAAAAACAATTGTGAGGGCAGAGCAGGACCGGAGTAGTCTGGCCACTGAGAGTGGGAACCAATGCTAAGGAACCTAACACCACTGGCTCCCCATTAGTAACCTTGTTTCTTTTAAGGAAATTCAAAGAAGCCCAGACACATCCTGTTCACACCTAATAGATCGCAAACATAAAAAAGTGCACGCCAAAAGGAAACATTGTAACAATCGTGGCTCATTTTCTGGGAGGCCTCTTGTGTGCTCTCTCACCTGCCCTATGCCAGACATGGTTCTACCTGACTTGTTATTATCACCCAGCTATCCTGTGACATCACCTCCGGTTATGCAGTGATGTTCCCCAGCCCGCCGCCCAGTGACATGACATGTGACTTTCTTACTTTCTGCTCCATGACATCATCCTGCTGGATCCCCTTGCCCTATGAAGGTCACTCTGCCTGCCTGGTGACATCATGTCATCTGCCCCGCAGTGTCACCTCCACCAGCAAAGCCCACTTCTCCAACAAGACTTTGCCTGATGGCCTGTCCTGGAGCGACACTGACTGCAGACAAACTGTCACAGGCCCCCATAGGTGTCACTGCTCTGGACCGGACCGAGAGAGGCAGCCCTGGGGGACCCAATTCCGTTGGAAGAATCTAGGAGTGCTGCCTGGAGGAGGTGGCATTTTGGCTGTTAACGGCAGCAAGAAGGCGGCCCGAGTTCAAACTCTCCTTCTCCTTCGCTCTTTGCTAAATGGAGCCTGGGCTATAATTCACCCTCCTGTGCCTAATCTTTAAAAACAAAACACTAGCCCTCACATCCGTGTCCTGAGGGTCTTTGAAGAAGTGAGTGGGTGTGGCGTGCTTAAGCCTCGGGCCACA